AAAGGGTATGGCTTTGGTCATAAATAGGGCATGATTTTTGCTCTCTAGCCTTGAATTGGCTATATTTCTTAGTGAAAGCTACTTTTTCATCATTATCGATAAGACCGTCAACAAAAGCCCTTCATAACTTATGTTTAGGGCAACTGTGCCAGCCGCAACAGTCACAAATAGGGTAGCAAAAATCGCATATTTTGGTCAGAAATAGGGTAAGAGTTTTGGGAAGTGGGCCGCACACCCCCACTTAACTTTTCTGGGAGTACCTCCCTCCGGGGTTTATGATTCGATCCATCGACCGCTTTCACAGCGGCTTTTAGCCGAAACTTTCACGCTCGACGAGCGTTTGTCTCCCGCGAACGATTCAAATTTCCATACTGTCTCATTGTCTTCTATAATTACGTTGCTTTATGGCTTGAACATTTTTATTTTCCAACATAGAAACTTCTCAAAATCTTTTTGACCCGATTCAAATATCACGAGTTGGCTGGAAAGCAATTTTGGACATTTTGATTTCCTATCAAAGCGAGGAGTTCAGCTAATTATTTACATCCAAGGTAACCGGCACATGCAGTCCTCGACTGCCTATTTTTTAAAATTGGTTCTTACTTATGATCAATTGGGGAACTGCCCTTTTCTGGCTTCCGTTCATGGTGATAATATATAGATTTAGCCAGGCCTAAAAGCGGAGCTCCCGATGGCGATAATTAACCATAAAGGAAGATGAGGATTTGTTTTTCTTGGATCAGAAACTCAAAAAATAATCAATTGTAAGCAGGTAATTGTTCAGCGTGTGGTTTCACTATTATTTCCAGTTAAATTTTAACAAAGTTTGCCCAATAAGTGTACCCAATTTTTCCAAGATTGTAGAAATTACGTACGCAACATATCAGGGAATTTCCATGAGAAGATTGTGCAAGGAATATGTCGGAAGCAAAGTCAATAACGCGCCACGTTTTAATTTGCGCCGGAATTTTGCCTCTGCATGCATGTACTTCCTCTAACCTGACTTGAGCCCGCGATCGAATAGAAACCCAGTACCTGGTCAACAAAAAAAATACGCGATCTGGATGAGGTCTTAACTTGAGCCCGCAATATGGTCACGTAATACCGGTCAGCGGATACCTTGTTTTGACAGCCGTCAATTAATCATAACATGAGTGTCAAATATCAAAGATGTACCTATGGTAATGGTGCTCTCTTAGGTATTAGGCTTGGCGTACGGACGGACGTACGTATTATTTTGTTGATTCAGATCCAGGCTTCAGATGTTACTCATTGCTTTGTTGCTACAGCCTCTATTTGGTATGGGCAAGAATGACCACACTCATCATGCAACATAAGCGAATGACTGTTAACTGACAATCGGACCGTCATGTGCAAACCAACATTTTTTAGATCGATGAGGTACCAAATTTTCTACGTTATGGGGCTCCGCTCGCTCTCCTTCGGCGCGCAGGAGCTCCACTATAAAACAAATAGATTCCGACGTCTCAAAATATAAGAACTTCAGTGACATACTTGTGTGTCACCTTTTC